ATAAATGTGCACAAATAATAGTTAAATTGCCTAAGTTAGAGTATTAATTATAACATGGCTATTTAGTGAAGGGGTAGGTCTTACTATGGTCATTCCAAAGTCTCTATTTTATATGTATTTAAACAAAGTTAGATTTGAGAAAATGTCTGAGTTTTACAATTTTATTATTATTATTATTTTGGTTTTTCAAGACAGGGTTTCTCTGTATTGTTTTGGAGGCTGTCCTGGAACTAGTTCTGTAGACCAGGCTGGTCCTGAACTCACAGAGATCCACCTGCCTCTGCCTCTTGAGTGCTGAGATTAAAGGTGTGCCCCACCAACGCCCGGCTCTACAATTGTATTTTGTAACCATTGTGCGAACATTTTGAGGCAGCTTGTCCTTTCAAGGGCCTTTCACACACATTGTCGGCTGAGAGTCACATTGTCTCCATGGGGTTGGTAGCGTGTGTCTCATTTCTCTCCTGGGACATGGGACCTAGGATTCAGCATAAGAGTAGTTGCTTGAGAAGAGTCACAACAGAGTAGTGAGGGACCTTTCTGGTCTGTAGACCAGAGGAGCAGGTGCTGTTCTCTGGACAAGAGTCATGCCACATTAGCAGTAACTTGAAGGTGCCCTGCCTGAGTGTTCGCACACTCAGAAAGCTAATCCTCAATTGTAGCCGCCAGTAAAATACAAGTAGCAGGAAGCCACCAACACCGACCTGTGGAACCCATGCATACTCCCACTGAACTTCCCTATCTAGACTTTCCAGTGGTCAGACTGTTCTAAAGGTAGAATGAAGGGTCACAAGAAGAATGCCTCTTGTTTACCAGCGCCTGCACTGGGGGCAGGTTGTGTCAGCCCTTTTCTATCCCATGTATTGTATACCGATTAGCTGCTGGCCCCACTGCTGTAGGTGTCCCCAGGAGGCTCAAGAGTCTCAGGTTGGAGTATAGGGCCTGACTTCATTGGGCTGCATTGGACTGCCAGCTCAGTGGAGAAATTGAGCTGCCATGCTACAACTGCCTGCAGCTGGTGGCATTAAGGTGACCACAGACAAGCCTTGGTTCCTGACTTGAAAGGTAGAGCTCTGCTGGGACTTCAGTGGAGCGCCCAGAGTGGCACCTAAATTTGCCCAGCAGCATGCGGTGAAAGCTCCTCTGAGGGTTTAACTACTCTAGTGAGTCTCAAGTACAGTGATGACAGAAAGACATTTCCTCCTGCTGTCTCTCTGTTCATTTTCTATGTGCTATGAGATTTTCCAGGTGAGTCAGGAATTTACTAGTGAGTCGAATCAACAGTCATGCATCCCAAAAGGAGGGCGGATATGTGTGCAGAATGTACCAGTGATTGAAGAGTGAGAGCATCATAGTGCTCACATCAGCATAGCTACCACAGACAGTCCTACAGCAGTTCATTGCTGACCAGATGTCAATGCGATGGAACTGTATTCATGTATTCGTGTCTTGCTTGGAAAAAGAGACAGAGCAGGAAGATTAGAAAATGTTCTTGCCAGGCACTGGTACCACATGCCTTTAATTCCAGCACCCAGGAGGTAGATTTACTGCAGAGGCAGGAGGATCTCTCTGAGTTTGAGAATTAATTCCAGGACAGCCAGGGCTACACAGTGAAACCCTGCCTTGAAAAACCAACAACTTAGGACCCTTGTACTTCAGTTTCCCTATCTGTCATGTGGAGATGATACTAGCAGCTACCTCACAGGGATAATTGGGTGCTGTGACTGAGATTGATGGTGAGTCTTCTGTGAACAGCAACCACAACATCATGTAATACACGTGGGATATATGTAATGAACATAGTGTGTTAACCCTTGGGGATGATAGGAGAAGGGGAAGGAATTTCTGAAAATTTCCTGGAAGTGGTCCCAGAGGCTGTGGTTAAAGCACACTAGGTAGATAGAGATGAAGAGAAAGCCTTTCCATGATACCTGCATGAGTGTCTGGGAGTGGTCGGCATAGCTTCTCTGTATTCATTCCTTCTCCTAGTCCTTGATCTATACTGCCTATTCAAGTCAGACTGGCTGCAGGTTACAGTAGAACAAACCACATCTGAGCAGAGGCCACTGCAGTCACCAGAAACCTGCTGTTAACCTGCTGAAGGCAATGAGTAGGACTGCATGGCGCAGAGCTGCCTGTTAGGTTCACATTCTGACCCTGCCGCTTGGTTCTCATAGCCTTGGGCAAGTGCATGCCACAGATACAAGATACTGTGATGCTTTGTCAGCTGTGGGTGCACAGTGCTGCGCAGGATGCTGCTGTGAGTCTAGAGGTTCAGCACTATCGTTAGAGTGGAGTCCACAAACCCACACAGGGATGTGCACGCGGCCAATCCACTCTTTCATCCCTCATAGGTTCCTTCCTTATAGGACCTTGCCCTGATCCCCGTCTGATCCCCAGAATAGCTCCTGTTCTCCCTGTGGTGCACTGGCCCAGACCATAAAACACTTGTCCTCACACCTGGAGTGACTTGTTGCCCAGATGCATTCTCACTGGATGGCCTGTACCTGTCATTCACATCCCCTTTCCATGTAGTTCATAGTGTTTATCAAATGAATCAATGAATGAACAAATTAATTAATGCAATGTAAAAGTAATTTAAGAAACTGCTGCTATTGTTAAAGTCTCTTTTCCTAAATTTAATTGCATAGTCAATGGTTTAATGTTTGAGGTCTTTTGACTACATGGTGCTTTTTACCATACTAGGAAGGCGTCTGGGTGTCCAGGTGAAAGCTACTTGGACAGGACTAGACATACTTACAGGTTGGCTTTTTTTTTTTTTTAAAGCTGTAATTTGCTCTCCGAGCTTCTCAGCAGGAGCCTGGAAGCTGACAATTCTTGATGGCAGATGTGCACGGTCCTCACAGGCAGCTTGAGCATTAAAGACTGTGTGTCACTATGCACATTTCATTCATTTCAGCATTGTTATCTGGCTCAGCCAGTTGTCCCAGCCATACCCCAGTATAAACCATAAGCCAGGCAGCCTTTAGGAAACAGGTTGGAAACCCAGAAATACCTCTAGAAGTTTGTAACATTTTTTTAAGATCCTTAAAAAAAAATCTTTGTGGCTCCAAAGGCAGCTCCCTCTGCCGAGAAGTCTGTCTCAGCGCCTGTGCTTCTGAGGTTGGTAGCTTTCAGAAAGACTGCAATGCAGCGGTTAGCAAAGCCCTGTTAACATGGAAGCCGCCCGCTCCCCTTCCACACTGCTGCCTGTGAGCCAGAGAGGAGATGGTGGGTCTCATATGCATGCCCTAGGACCCTCCGTTCTGTGATTAGACACAGGCAATTTTTTTGAGTGCCTTGGCTAGCACAGGCTTGTCCTGCAGCAGCTCTTAGTTTCTGGTGCAGTGGGCTTTCCTCGGAATGTGAAACTGAAGATGCCTTTGCAGTTTGTGCCTGATAATTTTGTTTTCATCTGTGAGTTCAGATGGTGGGTTATACAAAGGTAAGGGACTTTAAAAGGCATGCATTTATGTGTTTTAAGTATTTATGAATATCCAAAATCAAAGTAAATTATGATTTGAATATATCTCCACAGAATCTAAGAAATAAAACTTTGTATCTTGTTAATGACAGTTTTGACATTTGAAGAATTGTCTTATTTATTGTGAACTAATGTCCTCTAATGAATTACTCGGGATGTTTTTTGAAAAGGGTTTGCTTTTCCTTTGGCTTTCTAATAAACAAGCTTGACTCTCAGAAATGTAGGTATGGGTTATAATATTTGTTCCTTTTAAACAATGACAATTCATTGATCTGGCATAAGATATTTCATTTTTCTGGCATAGGCTATATCATCAGCCATATGATGACAGATGATGAAGTCCGGTTGCTTGAGTTCTTATTTTTCCTCAGATGAAAATCGTCAGATGAGTTTTTTTTTCCTCCAAGTGTGGAGCTCTGTGCTTATGTATGGGATGAGCAGGTACTTCCTTCAGCTGGTCCTCTTTGTTTATCTAAGAGGGAGGCTAAATCCAAACTCAGATTGGTCTTGCTATAAATTGGTGACCCTAAATGCATTGAATGCTTCATAGTTGTTAATTTTATATGTCCAACACCAAGAAATATAATGTCAGGGTTACCATGGCAACTGCATGTGCTCTGAAAAGCTTGTGAATGGGCTCTGAGCCTCCTGGCATTTTAACTGAGATTTTCCAGCTGAGAGCCTGCATACATGATGAGTGTAAATACATTCAGCTTTCTGTGGAAAGCACATCCTGTCTCTGTGCTTACCAGAGTTGGCTACCCCTGCTCCGTTCTTTCTTTGGTGACATCTGCCTTGCCTCTTGGTTCCTGGTCACAGACTATGGTTGAAAGATTGTTTTCATCCTTAAGTTGGGGATCATTAGAATGGGGCTGACAATGCCTGGTAATCTCCCCATCCTGACTGTACTTGCTGCTTTGTGGTGTGGTGTCTCGGTGGAGTTTTCTGTTCATGTGAAGACCTTCTTCCCAGAAGTTTCCGGGCCCCAGAACCTGACTTCCTCTTAGCTTATAAGTTATGGTGGTTGGTTTGGAGAAGGGAATCCAGTGATCAAGCTTGTGAAAATTATAAAGGAGGGCCCATGGCTTCATTATCAAAGGATTTCTGACAACATTTACAGCTAGTTCACTCCCCAAGCTGAGTGTGGTGGTGCACACCTTTAATCCCCATACTCAGGAGGCAGAGGCAGACAGATCCCTGAGTTCAAGGCCAGCCTGGTCTATATAGTAAGTTCCAAGCCAGCCATAGCTGCAAAGAACTCTCAGACAACAAAAAGTCAGTCTTCCGTGTACATTTAAACCACATTGCAGTCTTTTTGGAGACAGGGTCTTGCTTTAAAGCCCTCTGTGTGCTTGAATTTACAAGTATACCTATCTGACCTAGAACTCAGAATTATATGGTGTACTTTTTAATTTGAAGGTAGGTTATTCTTTGAGTTACCCATTAGTGGGTGTATTGTTGTGGCTTACGTATGGGCCTCATTTAGGATCTTTGTCTAATACTGTCCCTTTATTTTCAGATGAAGAAACTGAGGCCCAAAGAAGTTATCCACTTGGTTGAGGTCCCAGAATAGATCAGAACCAGTTCGCTGTCAGAAACCTGCGCCTGGATCCTGGCTGTCTGTCTGATCCCCTGAGGTTCACGTCCTCACAGACAAGGTTTGCTCCTAGCTTTGTTTTCCTTTTGTCAAAAAGGGGGTCTTTTCATAATTTCAGGTCTCTAACTTAGAACTTTCAATTAAAAAATTAAATTTCAACATTTCTTTTTTTCTTGCATCTTTTATGAACTTGTGCTTAGTGTGCAGATACTGACACATTCATGGGAAGGACATGGCGTGTGCCCTACGTGCCACCTGCTGTGCTGAGAACTGTGAGCAGTCATGAGCTATCTGGTTACATTCTGAATTGAGGAGCCTGCCCGGGAGATGCAGGCATGAGGACCTCAGTTTGGATCCCCGAATCCTAAGTGCCAGGGCTTGGGGGAGAAGGGAGAGGTAGAGACAGGAAAGTCCCCAGGCCTGCTGGTGAGTGAGTCTACCAAGTCAGCAAGTTCCAGGTTTAGTAAGAGACCTTGTGCTAAAAATTGAGGTGGAGATACCAGGTGGTGGTGGCAATGCCTTTAATCCCAGCATTCGGTAGGCAGAGGCAGGCAGATTTCTGTGAGTTTTGAGGCCAGTCAGGAATCTTGTCTGGGGGGGGGGGAAGGAAGGAAGGAAAAGAAAAAAAGAGGTGGAAAATGACGGAATAAGAGACTCAGTGTCAGCCTCTTGCCACTGAGACACACACACACTTGAGACACACACACACTTGAGACACACACACACTTGAGACACACACACACTTGAGACACACACACACTTGAGACACACACACACACTTGAGACACACACACACTTGAGACACACACACACTTGAGACACACACACACTTGAGACACACACACACTTGAGACACACACACTTGAGACACACACACACTTGAGACACACACACACTTGAGACACACACACACTTGAGACACACACACACTTGAGACACACACACTTGAGACACACACACACTTGAGACACACATACACTTGAGACACACACACACACGAGACACACACACACTTGAGACACACACACACTTGAGACACACACACACTTGAGACACACACACACACTTGAGACACACACACACTTGAGACACACACACACTTGAGACACACATAACTTGAGACACACACACACTTGAGACACACACACACTTGAGACACACATACACTTGAGACACACACACACACACTTGAGACACACATACACTTGAGACACACACACACTTGAGACACACACACACTTGAGACACACATACACTTGAGACACACACACACACACTTGAGACACACACACACTTGAGACACACACACACTTGAGACACACACATACACTTGAGACACACACACACTTGAGACACACACACACTTGAGACACACACATACTTGAGACACACATACACTTGAGACACACACACACTTGAGACACACACACACACTTGAGACACACATACACACTTGAGACACACATACACTTGAGACACACATAACTTGAGACACACACATACTTGAGACACACACACACTTGAGACACACACACACGAGACACACACACACTTGAGACACACATACACTTGCAGTTCTGACTTAACACCTGTATTCAGTTACCATCATGACAGTGCACTTAAGAAGGCAGAATGACATAACAAAAGGCTCAGTCATCTATCTGCTTATTTTTGGTTTTTTGAGACAGGGTTTCTCTGTATTGTTTTGGAGGCTGTCTTGGAACTCTCTCTGTAGACCAGGCTGGCCTTGAACTCACAGAAATCCACCTGCTTCTGCCTTTCTGAGTGCTGGGATTAAAGGTGTGTGCCACCACCACCTGGCTCAATGTATGTATTACAGGTAGTAAGAAGTTACCTTCTCAGACATTGAAATGCAAATTGATTTTCCAGCCAGATTTTGGTTAATCATGGTCTTTAATTTTTTAAAATAATTTATTTTGTGTGCATTGGTATTTTGCCTGCTTGTATGTCTGTGTGAGGGTGTCACATCTTGGAGTTAGACAGTTGTGAGCTGCCATGTGGGTGCTGGGAATTGAACCCACATCCTTTGGAAGAGCATCCAGTACTCTTAACCACTGAGCCATTTCTCCAGCCCTCAGTGGTTTTTAATTTTCAAAAAAAATTAAGATTTTTATTGTAGGCCACTTAGGGTGACAGGTTGTATCATTTTCTTTTCTCTCTGCCTCTCTACTTTTTCTTTCTTTCTTTTTTTTTTTTAAAGACAGGTTCTTTTCCATGTAGCCTGGCCATCCTAGAACTCTCTCTTTACACCAGACTGGTGTTAAACTCACAGAGGTCTCTACCTTTGCCTCTTCAGTGCTGGGATTAAAGGTGTACACCACCACACCTGGTTTCTTCTCCTAAAAAAAAGAATTATTTTTTTATTTCTATTTTCTTTGTAAGGGTGGAGACATGAATGGCTGTAAGCTGCCACATGGGTGCTGAGTACCTAACCCTGACCCTCTGAAAAAGCAGCCAGTGCTCTTAGTCATTGAGCTTCTCTCAAGCCCTCTCTTCTTCTTTCTCGGCTGCTCTGCTTTATTCACTGAGCCATCTTACTGGCCCAAGATGTGTTTTTATTAACACAATTCATATAGCATGAACTGTCTGTATCCATCTCTGGTGTGTTCATAGTTGTTCAGAATCCTATTCAGTTTTAGAACATTCAACCTGAACATCAACCTGAAGTTATGGACTCTCAATTTATTCTGCAGACAAATAAGAGTGAAGACCAGCATCATGGCACATTTCAGTGAACCGTGATGCCGCCCACCCGTGTGCTTTACCCTGCAGGCACAGAGTCAAGCTGAAAAGTGAGTGGTAGCCTGCAGCCACGCTTCAGAAGCTTCTTATGTGAATAAGAGTTGATGTGAGGCTCTGATGAGAGGGGAGCTGTAAACTAGATTTTTTGAGGAAGAAGTCAATTTTGATAGAACATAGGTCACACTACAGACAGATAGAAGGACATCTGTGGCAGATCTTCCTGTCAGATGAAAGTAGACTACAGGGTTTGCGTTTATGTGTAGGACGTGCCTACACAATTTTCCTTTACCTTGTGTGCATGTTTGAGGCTTGTTTATGTAGCCCTTGTCTGTATCTTTCAGTTCAGAGGACTCAGCAGACCAGAGAACAAGACTTCAGACTGTCCTCCTTTAGTTTGTATGGTGGTTTGTAAAAAAAATAGCTCCCAAAGGGAGTGGCACTATTAGGCGGTATGGCCTTGTTGGAAGAAGTGTGTCACTGTGACCTTGAGGTCTCTTTTGCTCAAGCTTCCCTCAGTGTGACAGTCAGTTGACTTCTTGTTGCCTGCATGATACAGCACTCTCCGCTCCAGCACCACGTGTCCTGCATGCTGCCATGCTCCCCATCCCGAAGATAGTGAACTATACCTCTGAAACTGTACGTGAGCCATCCCCAATTAAATATTTTCTTTATAAGAGTTGTCGTGGTCATGGTGTCTCTTGACAGCAATACAAACCTTACTAAGACAGGCTGTAACATTTCTGTGTAATTTCTACTGTAGCATTAAAACCATGTCCCTGTACTTAACAGTCTGAATTAAAATATTCCCAAAGAAAGTACTAGCATGAGGCCATGATTGCCGCACCGTCAGAAGTTGCCTCTGGTCACACCACCAGAAGTTGCCTCTGACCACACCGTCCGAAGTTGCCTCTGACCACACCGTCAGAAGTTGCCTCTGACCACACCGTCAGAAGTTGCCTCTGACACTCCGTCTGTGGAAGACACTCAGCCCTGGTGATAGTCTTGGTGGGTACCTCCTGTGCAGCCTGCCTGGCCCTAAGCTATGTGCTTCCACGCCGAGATGTCCTTTCTTTCAGACCTAGTGATAGTCCTGCTGCCCAGAATACCAGGGATGTGCTTGGCTTAGGACCATCACTCAGAACCTGGGGTTCCTCAGCAGTGCTCCCTCTTTCTGAAGATAGTACGCTACTGTTGTCATCGTGGTCCATGTGACCACTGCAGTGCCATTGCTAAACCAGTAAACAAATTGTCTCCTACTTTTCAATTTGCTCATGTAAAATTCTGTTGGTAGTATTAACTTAGAACTGGTTTTTAATATATGATTTGTTTAAGAATGCCTTTAATCCCAGCGGAACAGGAGGATTTTCGTGAGTTTGAGGCTAGACTGGTCTGCATCGAGTTTCAGGACAGCCAGGTGGGACTCTGTCTCAAAAAAAAAAAAAAAAAAAAAAAAAAAGCAGACACCTGCTACTTCCTGCCCCTCACTAGGACAGATGAGTTGGCACATTGTCCTAAGTGCTATGTCAGATCTTCCAGCATTGCCATCATGAAAAAGGTAGTTCAGCAGCTCTGCCTGGAGACCAGGTTCAACAATGTGAAACTTCCCAGGCATCTGCAGACTCAGAAACAGTTCTGTTTACAGAATGTTCAAAATGACCCTCTGTTGACTGGAGTGTCATCCTCAGGCCCCAGAAAGTCTGCTCCATTTGTAGTTACATTTTCCAGAGGTTTCTCAAAGTAGACTCAAACTTACAGAGATCCACTGGCCTCTGCCTCTAGGGTGGTAGGATTAAAGGCATGTGCCACCACCGCCCATCAATAAAGATAATTTTAAAATACCATTTGGTGCCGGGGGTTGGTAGCACACGCCTTTAATCCCAGCACTCGGGAGGCAGAGGCAGGCGGATCTCTGTGAGTTCGAGGCCGGGCTGGACCAACAGCCTTTAAAGCAATACAGAGAAACCCTGTCTCATAAAACAACAAAAAAAAAAAAATACCATTTGGTATCTGGCATTCATTTAACATAGAGGTGTTTCATTTTGTGTTTGGAAAAGGTGAGAAATGTCCTTCCTTCCTTCCCTCCTTTCCCTCCCTCCCTCCCTCCCTCCTTCCTTCCTTCCTTCCTTCTTTGTTTTCTTTTCTAGTGAGAGGTGTGGGGGGAAAATAGGAAAGTGTATGCAGTCACATGTACCCAGGCATGTGCAGAGGGAGACGTCACCTGTCTTCCTCCATCACCCTCAGCTTTATTCTCTGGACACAGGGTCTCACAGGCTGGCTGGCCAACAAGCTCTGGAATTT